AAAACCCCAGATGGGGTCACAAAGAGTTGGACCTGATTGAAAAAGACTTAACAACAACAACAGTTCCAGGAAGCTCTGGATGGCTAGAAGTTGCAATGGTAGAAGGAGTTTCCTTTTTCTGGGAGTTCTTTGTATTGTTTTAATAACATCATTAATACGGGGCTTAAGATTTGAAAAGCAGTTGATGTATGTAGGTCTTATTCAATCCTTACAACAACCCCCTGAAGTAGGTATTGTTATCCTTATTTTGCATATAGGAAACTTAAGCTGAGAGAGGTTAAGTGATTCAACATCTATTAAGTAAGTCATAAATCCAACTGGTATCTCCATTGTTTTTATGGGAAAACCTAACAACTTGGGACACTAGTCAATAGAAGTTGGCTTTTTCTAATCCCCCCCCCCCCCATGTTCTAAGGGACGCATAATAATTGACGTAGAACTGGGGAGGAATACAGGGTGGGGTTGCAAGCTAGAATGATTTTCCTGAAGATGAGTGGGGAAAGGTCCGGATCTTTGGTGGGTGGTAGTGGTCCAGTTCCTCAAGGGGTGCTCGAAATCTAGGGTTTTCCGTGGTGTCACAGTCTTATGGTGGTGTCCTTCCCAGTCTCTGTGCGGTATTGGCCCTCCACTAGATTTGAGCGGCACCCAAGGTGATGTCAGGAAGAGGGAAAGAGAAAGGAGGCTGTTTTTTCAGGCAGCTGTGTACTTGTAGAGGGCAATGCTGGAAGGAAAGGCAAAGGAGAGTTTCTGCAGCAATTCTAATGGAACAATGAGTTCCAAGATGACAGTGAATAGATGTTTCTAAGTTTGGGAATTTGTAATTTGGTGGCTCCTTGTACCTGGAATCATGATAGTTAGGTGGCATGAGACGGCACATAGCCACCCTTTTTACTTTTACACAATACGAAACAAAAACAAAATTCCACAAATGTTTGGTTCAGTTACTCCAAGGGCCTGAGTACAATACATTACAATGCACCTTTGTTAAGTGTCTACAGTGTTTAAGGCTTTGTACTGGGGTGGGGGGGAGTATAAGAGAAAGAGGAAGGAAAGGCATGAGAAGAGGGAGAGACAGAGAGAGAGACTGAGAAAAGGGAGGAGGGAAGGAGAAAAAAATTGAGAAAGAGGAGAGGGAGAGAGATATTAGTGCATATCCTCAAAAAGTGTCAGCTGAGGAGAGCTGTGGTCTGGCATTTAAGAATATCTTGAATATGTGATAGCAGAAATTTGCAAATCTATAAACAGGAGAGTCTTTTCTGTGTTTCAAATATCTATAGGTCAAGCATTTTGCAGGGTACAATCCTTGCTAAGTTTCAGGTAGACAAATGATTGTAAGTCTTCTAAAATGATAAACAAACTCCATGTGTTCATAATTTGAAAACAGAATGTTTTGGGTGGAACTGGGCCTTTTCTCTTTGCCCGTTGATCTCTTTCTCTAGCAACTCAACAACTATTTAATAAACATCACTTGAATTTGAAGTACTATACTCAGTACTGGGGGTGTGAACATAGGAGTCAGTATAGTCCCTATCTTCAAGAACATTAGTCTTCTGGGGATACCAGATGTGAACAAAATTGTCATGATAACCTGGAATAAAGTAATGAGGGCATAAAAGAGATTTAGACAGATTGCTGTGTGAAGAGGGGATTGATTTCCTTCATCTGGAAGGATCAGGAAAGCCTTAGTAAAGGAAATGATCTAGATTTGAATAAAATCTCAACAATCAGAGGGATGGTGGATGTGCATTTCAGACAGAGCCTGGTGGTGAACTTTTGTGAATACGTGGAGTAGGGAGAATAGAGAATGAGATTGAGAAACAGTCTATTGCCATCTAATTGCTCTTTGTAGACCTCTAGTAATGTCATCTGCCCTGTTGATATCACCTAAGACACGTGAGCCTTGCCGTCTGCCCTTCTACTGTACCCCTAAGAACTTCCAAGCTTTTCCATCCTTCCTGTAGCTGAACTTTATTTTATGTGTTGCTCTCTCCTCCAGTTAGAATAGGGTTTCTTGAGAATAGGGACTGTCAAACTTTCTCTGTTCGTATTCCCAGAGCCTAGCCTTGTATTTGGCACAGTGAGTGCTTGACAAATGCTCATTCATTCATTACTTCATTCACTGTCAAGTTACTGAAGATTTTTGAGAAGAAAAGTGATGTGGTCAATCTTTTTGGTAGTGTGTCGGCTTCTTTATCATCTACACCTTGTCTTTAGTAATTTCCAGCAATAATTATATAGGATTTTCTAAGTATTGCTTGTAGCTAAAATGTATATAGCTCTCTGAGGGAAAAATTACTTCCGTTTAACATGTTTTAGACTGTTCGAGGTGGGTTCCAAGGACACAGAAAATTAAATGATGGTTACAAAATATTATCCAAGCTTATTAAGTTTGTGTATTTGTATATTATATATTACATATGCCTTGACTCCCACACATACTTTTTAAACATCATCTTTTTTGGAGCTCTTCAGATCTTTCTGGTTACTCTGTCATGACATTGGAATGACAGTGAGATATTCGTGGAAGAACACTGTAGAATGTTTTAGTGGGAGTGATCCAATGACAGATTAGGTCTTTAATTCTCTCAGGCCTCATATGATGCTTGATAAAGTGAAGCCTAAGAGTTCAAGGTAGAGCCATTTTGTAATTTCTTTCTTGATTCTCAGTCCAGTGTTCTTTTCATCTGTCTTATCAGGCTGTTGCTTGTCAATCAATCAGTCAGCATTTTTTAAAGTACCTACTATATGCCAGACACTGTGTTAAACACTCGAGTACAAAAACAAAATCCTTGTTTTTAAGGAGATAATAGTCTGTTCCTCTCTTGGCTTAAAATGGGTTCAAGCATATTTGATTCTCATTTGTCCTCCATATCAATGGTGAAAAGTAGCTCAGGGGCCATCTCATTCAGTCAGTGTAGGGATTCCTTCTGCAGCATCCTCAGTGGGTGGGTCATCTACCCTTGCCAGGAAGAATTACACTGAGAGAGGACCTCATCATCTCCTGACCTGGCTCATTCTACTTTTGGTCAGCTCTAATCATTAGAAAGTTTTTGAAAGTTGAGTTGAATCAAATGATGTTTCAAATTTAATTGTATTCTGAAATTAATAATGAAATTAACCAAATAAATGGGACATTTTCATAAATACAGGAGAGGAGAAGAAAGGAGATTGTACATAAATCTTCACACCTATATTGTATACTGAGTACTTTTGTTTTAAGTACATTAACTCCAGCCTATAGTCTTCAAAGCTGTGCTGCTTGTCTGTGCTTCTTTTTTAGACTTCCTCTGTTCTCTACTCTGCAGAAAAAAGAAAAAAAAGATACCCAAATGATCCGTATTCTGCACCCCCCCCCCCCCGACTCTATCCTCATTTCCATTTGCCTTCCTACCCTCCCAGTAGTTAAGTGGTATAGTGGATAGTGTCCTGAACCAGTATGGAAAAAGATCTGAGTTGAAATCCATCCTCAGACACTTAATAACTGTGTAATCCATAATAATTCACTCAACCTCCCATCCAGGTTGCTCTGAGAACAAGTGAGAATATTTGTAAAGCACTTAGCACAGTGCCTGACACATACAAAGTGCTTAATAAATGCTTGTTCCCTTCCTACAACTTCTTCCCATTGGGGGGAAAATCCTGTATGATAAAGATGCATAGTTAAGCAAAACAAATCCCCATATTCATTGTATCCTAAAATCTATGTTTCATTCTACAGAGATCTGTAGTGTGCTTCATTATCAGTCCTATGGAAGAGCAGTTGATCACTGCACTAATTAGAATTCTCAAGTTTTTGAAAGTTGTTATTCTTTTTAATGTTCTTGTATAGATCCATTCTCCTGGTCAGTTCACTCTGCCTCAGTTGCCATGGTGCAGTAAAATTTCATTACATATAGTGTTTGGACATTCTCCACAGACATATATTAAGCTCTGTGTGCTATGTGTTGGCAATACAATAACAAAATGAAATTCTGCCCTCCAGTAATGTACATTGCTGGAGATAGGGTGGTCAAGGAAATGAACATGCTCCCAATAAGTTAAATACAGGGTAATTTAAGGAAAGGGGGAGGACTAAGGACTCAATCATGAAAGGTTTCAGAGTAAATTTTATCCTCATGACTTCTCATTATTTTAGCTTTTGTCCTCTGGCAACTAGCAGAACAAATTGGATACCATTTTTCTTTCAAATAATGGAAGATAGCTGTCAATGTATCTCTAAATCTTCCCATTTACAACATCCCCTGGTCCTTTAACAGACCATTGTATGGCATGGTCTTGAGGCTCCTCATTGTCCTAGTCACCTTTTTATGTATGCTGAGAGACAGCTAAATGGCACAATGGATAGAAAACAGGATTTGGAATCAGGAAGACCTGAGTTCAAATGTGACCTCAGACATTATCGCTGTGATCCTGGGCAAATCACTTAACCTCTCTCTGCCTCAGTTTCCCTCACAGGGTCGCTGTAAGGATCAAATGAGATAATATTTGTAAAAGTATAGTGCCTGGATATAGTAGGCACTTAATATTGCTTGTTGCCTCTCCCATAGTCTCTCTGTATGGACTCCATAGGCTGTAGTCCAGCTGAATATGTCACAGGCATATTCATATAGTGGCCATGTCCTTTTATCATCAGTTCTGTATAGTGTAGCTAGCCTGCTCAAGGAACTAGTAGTAAATCTGGGAATTTGGGCACCCAGGAAAAGAAATGTTGGAGCTTAGAGTAAGGAATGAGTTTCCATCTAAAAGCCAGATTGATCATAAGGTTGTTAAGGGTGACTTTTGCTGTTAGTCAATGCCGGGCAATGCTTAATTTAATGATTATCAGTTTACTTCATGAGCAATAAACATTATGGGTCACCCAAAGGACAACGGATAAGTACACAGTGGGTGCACATTCAGATTTCATTGAATCAGATATTCCTTAGTACCATTTGACTTTTGGTGATGGTCACAAAAGTGTTCTCTGCTGTTCTTCATACTTGTCTTCTTCTAATTTATAGGTGCTCACATCATGTCGGGCCTTTCTTGTGACAGCTCGAATTCCCACCAAGGTAAGTAGTATTTGTTCCTTAATATTTACCTCTCAGGTGTTAGTCAATCAGTTTTGATTTAGTGCTAGAAATGTCTTAAGTGATTCTTTGTCCTTTTCTTCAGAAAGAACACTAAACATGATTGGAATAGACTAGTCTTTCCAAGTTATTTCACCCTCCTTGCTCACTTTTTTTCCCCAGAAGAAGCCCCAGTGAAAATAGAGAGGCATTTTTGAGTCAAAGTTTCAGGATTTGGCAGCTGGTGTCTGTTTTATTCCTCTGCTGCTTACTTTCTTATCCTGACCTTTTTTCTCTCTGTACTCTCCTAAGTAGCACATGACTTTGATTTCTCATGCCTAATTCTTGCCTGGAAGGGGAACTTATAGGACTATCAATGATATAAAAGTGATTTGTTTTCTTAAAAATGTCCAAGCCTCCTATAAAATATCATAGATCAGTTACATTCCTTAAAGAAATTAAACTTTTCCCCCCCTGAGAATTCCATTCCTCAAGTTCTATACCATGTATCACTTAGAGTCAACCTAAAATAAAATATTCTTGAATTTTGACACAAAGATTCATTGCATCTGCTGGCCTTAAAGTCAGGAGAGCCATGAGTTCAAATCATGCCTTTGATGCTTACCAACTATGTGATCACAGGAAAAGTCGCTCACCTTTCTGTTGCTCAAGGTCATACAGCCAGTAAGTGTCTGAGGCTAGATTTGAACTCACAAAGGTGAGTCTTTGTGATCCCATGCCCAGTGCGCTATCCATTGCCCCTTATATGTATCTGTTTCCTTATGGATTTGGGGACAACTTCCTATACTTGGTCTGGCTTAGAGTATCTCATCCATTTTCCTTCCACTCTCATACCCAGTTGTATTTAAAACTTTCTCCAAGGGAAAATATATTTCTTCTCTCCATTCATCCCATTAAAAAAAGATTTATCTATAGAGCAAATATATTTTGTTCTTGTGCAAGTGAAATCTGGATGGAAAACCTATACATTTTAAAACTTTTCTGGGTGGTTCAGAGTTCTGGAGAAGGCTTAAGCATTAAGTAAGGAATTATGCTACTGATGAAGAATCCATTACAGAAGCAAAATGTATGGGTTTTAGAAAAGAGTTCAATGGTCTTTTGAAGTACGGTTTCTTGAAAGATGTGTTCACTTTAAGTAAAAATGTTACTGACTCTTTTGAACTTATAGATTTGCCTTGATCATACTTCACTTACTCTGTTTCCTGTCTTGTTCCTGTGTCCCCAGGCCTTTCATTGTGAAATATCTTATAACCAGTCAGCCAAAATCAGCTACAACATGTGCTTTTAAGCCACTTTAGTTGTCATGAATAAACCCTGCTATCTTTTTTTCCCCAAAGTGACTTGTTCCCATGTTTTCCCTATGGGGTAGGCTGCTATCCACTTTCCATTGTCATCCCAGATTGATCAGTGGAGCTAGTGTCATTGACCTTCTTAATTAGTAGCTATTAATTATAAGTATTTTAACTGGGAAGACACACAAACACACTCCAGAAAATTTGTGTCAAAGAATATGGTAAGTCTTTTGTTCTGTAAAAAGATGTAACAGTTTCTAGTGACTTGAGGTTCTCCTTCCTGTCAGCCTAAAATGTCTTGAGCAAAATTGGTCTTACTTCACATGTTCTTTTCTTCAAGGCCCTGCAATTAGTCTTCCTTTTTTTACAAAATCAAGGCAGGAGTAGTTCTTGCCCTTTATGTGACTTTGTCCTCATTGTTTTCTTCTTTGTTTCCTGTCTTGCTTTCTTTGAGTCATTTGTTCCTTTATTATTGATTTATTTTCTGAATTTTTGTCTGAGAGGGAAGGGAGAGGGGACAAGCATTTATTAAGCAGTCTGCTATGTGCCAGGCACTGTGATTTTGCTAAGAGCTTTCACAGATATTTTCACATTTTATCTTTGAAACAAGCCAATTTACAGTTGATGTAAGTAAGGGAGATGGAGATTAAAGGAACTGAACAGAAGGGGAAGAGAATAAGCATTTATATAGCACCTACCATGTTCCAGGCACTGTGCTAAGTACTTTACAAGTATCATCTCCTTTTATCCTCTCACAGTGACCCTGGGGAGTAGGTGCTATTATTATTTCCATTTTATAGTTCAGGAAACTGAGACAAATAGTGGCAGATAGTGTGTGAGGTCAGATTTAAAATCAATCTTTCTGACTCTAGGTCCGTCTACTACAATACCTAGCTGCTGCCCTCATGTGGTACCTATTTTTGGTTTGTTCAATTTATGACCACACCCAGTTTTCCCAACAAGACATTATACTCTTTTCAATTCTTTTTAGCAAAAATATTTGAATTTCTGCTATGTGCTATCTGCACTGTGCTAGGGGTCCAGGATAGAAAGGTAACATATGATAGTCTTTGCCTTCAAGGCAGCTCATAGTTCAGTTCAGGGGATAAGAAATATACACAAATAACCGTAATATTTATTGAAATGCAGTAAATGTATAAAAGGAGGGTGAAAGATTTGGGAGACATTCCTTCTAGGTCAATCAAGAGGGACAGTGGAGAGGTGGAATGTAACCTGAACCTCGGAGAAAGAAAAGAATTTCAGGAAGAGGTGGAGACACACTGTTTAGATGTGAGAAACATTTGTACAAATGCACACAGGCGAAAAGAGGGAGGGCAGAATGAGATTGGAATTGTGTCTTAACTAGTTCTTGTAAGAGCAGTGATTAAAATTCAGGTTACCTGATACCCTGGTGAAAGGTCTTTGTACCACATTGATGCTGTTAGGAAACTGCCTTCATCATTCTTTGGGAAGAGAGATTAGACTTGTTTTACTTGGCCCCAGAGGGCAGCTGCAAGAGGCAAATTGAGGCTTGCTGTAGGGAGGAACTTCCTAACAATTAAAACTATTTGAAAGTGGAATGGGCTGCCTCTGGAGGCAGTGGGTTTTCCAACACTAGAGGTCTGCAAGCAAAAATTGGATGAGCATTTGTTGAGTGTGTTATAAAAGAAGTCTTTCCCAGCTAGAAATTCAGAGATTGCCTCCAATGTCCCTTGTAGCTCCAAGATTCTGCGATTCTTTGTATCTCCCAGTTTCCTGTCCCTTATTTAAGTGGAGTTCTGGAAATGTTTTTGCTGATGCTGAACTCTATAAGTGCATGTATATATATATAGCAGCAGAACTCTATAAGTGACCTTACAGGAAATCCAGTCTGGCTACCTCACTTTATAGATGCAGAAACTGAGGCTCAGGGAACCTGTCACTTGCTCAGGATTGTTGTGTTTAGTCATTTTTCAGTCCTGTCCAAATCTTCATGACCCACTTTGGGGTTTTCTTGGCAGAGATACTGGAGTGGTTTGCCATTTCCTTCTCCAGCTTATTTTACAGATGAGGAAACTGAGGCAAATAAGGTTAAGTAACTTGCTTAGGTTACACAGCTAGTAAGTGTCTGAGGCCAGAATTGAACTCAGAAGCTGAGTCTTCCTCACTCCAGGCCCACCCCTCTATCCACTGAGCCAGCTATCTGCCCTTGCTCAGGGTTACAGTAGTACTGTAACTCTTAGAGCCACCCGGCTTCTTTCAGCTTTTCAAGGTCAGTGCTTCCCACCCCCTCACCACCCAGTCATACTACTTCCACCCTCTTCAGCCATTCCATTTGGCTGCTGGCCTCTTCCTAGTCTGGGAAGGGAATGGGTTTCAAGAAAACCCACTTTGAATTATGTTAAGTATTTTTGAAATCATTTGGTCTGAGTTTGGTAAAGTGGGGTTGGTGATAACATTGAATCATTCTTGACTGTTTCTCCATTTTCCTCCCATGTAGGATTCACTTATCTAGTGGACAAACTTGGGCTAATTACTCATTTGTGTTTCTAAATTTGATTGTAATCTAATTAGATATTTTAATATTGGGACTAAAAATAAATATGGAAGAAAAATAAATGCCATGGCTCATGTTTTCAAAAGCAGAATTTGTGTAGAGTAGGGACAGAAAGAAGATCCCACATTTTCTTTAACAAAAGAAAAAAGAGCTTATCCAGAAGCCTAGATATTAAATGCAGGTGGGGCAGGTGAGAGGCCGAGCAGAATAGCAGCCCCAAGTGGAAAAAAAGAAAGACAGAGAAGATATAATAGCAGGAGACCCTGCAAAGATAGTCCTAAACCCTGACGATGATGATGGTGGTGGATGATGATGATGATGATGTTGATGTTTCCCATGTATGGAACATATATCATTTCAAATATCACATAATTCTGACAAACCTTTTTTTATAGATATTGACGCAACTCTGGGATTCTATCTCACAGTTGTCAGATTTGCGGTTGATAGAGAAGGAAGATGACAAATATTGGAGGGACTATAAAAAAACAGACTCATTGATGCACTGTTTGCGAAAAACATTTTGAAATTATGCCCCCAAAGTTACTAAATTATGTGTGCATTTTTGCTCAGGGATACCATTTTTTTTTTTGGCCTATATTCCATGGAGAACAGAGAAAACAAAAAAGATCCAATATGGGCAAAAAAATACTTTTCTAGCAACTCTTTTTGTTGTGGCAAAAAACTGGAAACTAAAGGGGTACCCATCAATTTGGGAATGGCCAAGCAAATTATGGTATATGACTGTAATAGAATAGTGTTGTACTGTCAGCCATGATGAAAGAGATGGTTTCAGAGAAACCTGGGAAGACTTTGTATGAAGTAATAAATCAGCTGAGCAGAACTAGGAGAACAATCCACACGATAACAATAATGTAAAGAAAAATAAATTTGAAAAACTCAACAACAGTAGTCAACAGTAATCAGTCATGATTCCAGAGGACCAGTCAAAAAGCATGCCCCTCACCTTCTGAAGGAGAGGTGATGGACTAAATATGCAGGATGAGGCTCATTTTTAGACTTGGCCAGTATGGGAATTTGTTTTGGTTGACTAGGCATATTTGTTATTTTGTACATATTTATTGTTATTGGGGGTTACTTGGGAGGGAGAAAAAATGCTTGATATTTGAAAGAAAATAACTCCTCAAAATTAAAAAAGGGGGAAAGAAGGAATATTTTACCCTCTCTTCGGACAAGCTCTCTCCTTCTTCTACCCCTACAATGTAGCTCACCTTAGAACAAAATGTCTTTCTTTGGAGATTTGAGGCTGTCTATCCCCAATTATTCATGTCTTATAATGTTTTTTGGGGCTAGCCTTAAATTTTTTTTAAAAAAGCAGATAGGTCTTAGAAGTTTGATTAACACCTTAAGGCAAATGTTTACCTGTTATTTACCTGTTGATCTCTCTAACACTTCAGTTAGGAGGGTGCGTGCAGGGGGGGTACATCTCAGGATACTGTACTGTGTTGGTGGGAAGACAGAGATCTCTTAGCTCTACCAAGGGGTTTGCCAAGGTGGTGGAAGAGGGGAACCACTCACTTGCTTCTCATTGTAACTAATTATTTCTAAGTTGAAAGCATAATGGTTTCTCATTGCAGAAGACTTGCAAATGCTGTCAGCTCTTCTATATTTCATGGTAGGTATGGTGAGGGGGGGGGGGGGGGGGGCTGGGGAGAGAAAGCCCTAGTTGCCTGAGTTACTGCTCTGCTACTACCTACTTTTTTTGCTAACAATTTGAATGAATGGGAGAGGAGAAGGTGGTTGTGGCTGAGATTAATTTTAGATTCAAGGGAAAGATACCATAGTAGTGTGCTCTTATCTTAAACAATGTTGGTATGAAGATACTTAGGATGATGGAAATTCAGTAGGGATAGGTGGGGAGTAAGAGAGAAAGATAGATACAGCATTTATTATAGGTTTTTTATTAAATATCAGGTATTAAGAAAACAAGATGGACCCTATTTGCAAAGAGGTTATAATCTGATTGGAGAAAGATAAAATGTGAAAGTAGCTGGAAAGGGGGTGAGGGTGTGTGTGTGAGTGAGAGAGAGAGAGATGGAGAGGGATAGAATGTTAGGTGTTAGAGTTAAGGAACTGGAGCAGTTTGGAGAGTTGAGCTACTATTGCAGTTAGCATGGCTGGGACTCCTCAGAAGCAATGATCCCAGCTGAGTCTTCACCAATCAGGAGAGAGGGAAAGTGGGTGAAAACTTCTTGATGTTCACTGAATAATCTAGTAGGTCTAACCCTACTTGGAACCCTTTTGTTGCTGCATGCTAATGGGCATGTGAAATAGTACAGCTTAGAAGGGGCACCAGAGAGTGTGTGTGTGTGTGTGTGTGTGCGTGTGTGTGTGTGTGTGTGTGTGTATGTGTGTATATATATATATGTGTGTGTGTGTGTGTGTGTATGTGTGTATATACTGGATCTAGTAGTGTTCTCCTTCTTCTTGCTACCTAATTCTCTAATACTGTTGCTTTTGTTTTTTTTCCCTAAGCAAGAAGAGAGTATCCTATAGACCCTACCTAAAATATTTAATTTGGTTCATAAGAAAGGAAGCTAGGTCTTTAGGTCTTTAAATTATTGCCTGAATGAAAAGCTCATAGTAAAAGAACCAAGTTGCATATTTCTGCCTCTTTCATTTAACAAGTACTTGATAATGTGAATATTTTACTTGGCTTTTTTCAAAATGCTATTTTGTTCTAAACAAGAAATAAGAAAATGAAAGATCTCCTTTGTATAATTTATCAAAAGGAGGTTCCCAGGGCATTTTGTTTTCTTCTGACAGTTGGGTGTCCTTATTGAGTTCAGATACCAGGTTTAAGGGATAACTCTCTGGGCCCCCCCCGGCTTTTCCCCTGCCTCCCTTTTCTTGGTATACATTCTTGAAATACATATTTTTTGGGCCTTTACCAGGTTATCCTTAATACCCATTGTTCAGGCTATCTTTATAGCCTGTACTAAGTAGAAGATTCTGGGAATTATCAAGGCTAAACAATTTTTTTGATTCTGTTAACTCCAGAAATTCCTTTTTATTACTAAATATAAGTGATCTAGACTATCTACTGGAAAGCCAAACACAGTTTCCCTTGCCCCCATCTTCAACTTTGGGAATGTAATAGTTTTAATGTTGGACTTTAGTGAGTTCTATAAAGGTAGAGATTTTGTGTCTCACTTAATAGTATTTTATTTTTTTTCCCCAATTACATGTAAAGATAATTTTCCACATTCACTTTTATAAGATAGTTCCAAATCTTTCTCTCTCCTTTCCCTTCCCCCTGCCCAAGATAGCAAGCAATCCGATATAGGATATATATGTATGTAGAATCACATTAATCATATTAGTCTTTATGATTAATCCTAACATTAGTCAATGTTATGAAAGTAGAATCTGAACAAAAGGAAAAAGCCATGAGAAAGAAAAGAAGAAAAGTGAAAACAGTATGCTTTAGTCTATATTCAGACTCCATAGTTCTTTTTCTGGATGTGGATAGCACTTTCCATCATGCGTCTTTTGAATTGTCTTTGATCATCTTATTGCTTAGAAGAGCTAGAGACTTTGTGTTTCGTTTAAACTTTTTTTTTATCTCCCTAGGGCCCTAGTATCATAAGAAGTTGACCAATGTTCATTGAATGAATGCTGGTTTTGCATCTTAATTTATGGGGGGGTAATAGAGTCATGGTTGGTTAGAATGAGTAACAGCTTAAAAATAATTTAAAGAATATTGGAATAAATAATGCACATTTGAGGTAGTTTGAAACCTAATGCAGAAGTCCTGAGTTTCCATGAAGCCACTCCTCTATTATTCTCTATTGTCCATGAAATATTCTAACACCCTTCATCCTTTGATAGTATTTATCTCTACATTTCTTTCCTTGTGACCCTTCCTCTTCACCAACTTTTTCCTGTTCCCATTTTCTAGCAATCTTCTACCTCAGGGATATGCAGGAGCTAGTTCAAGCTGCCTTTTGAGAGCTGATTATAAAACTTGCACCTCAGAAACTGTCAATCAGGGTTTGATTTATTGTTTTGCTGATTGTCTAGACCAAATAAAGTGTTAATTACGTAAATTAAACTTAAAAATGAGTTGTAGCTACAGTTTTTTCCTGAAGTTGTTAAAACATTTACCAGCCCATCCCTGCTCCCCCTTCCCCTCCCCTCATCAGCATTCCCTTTCTTCACTGTCTTCTTGACTTACATCCTATTACTGCTGTTGACCAGATACTATCTCAACTGTGAGTAATTTCTGGGAACTTTGAGGTACTTAGCCTCATTCATTGCCCCTTCTTAAGCCTCAAAGCCCTAGCACCATAATTGCCTAGCTACCTTTTCCTATGGTTACTTGGAATTGGAGGTGGTGACCTCAGGTGACAGTTTTTTGTTTTATTTTAACTTGCCCTAGATAAGGTATCATAACACACCCTTAGGGGGCATCATGAAGCTCTTTGTCTACCCTTGCTCAAGGCCTTTCATTTCTCCCATTTCACTGAGCAGTGCTTTAACAGGAAAACTATTATTTAAATCAAGAAACTTCAAACTAAGAACCTCTCTGAGCTGCTACATTTTCCCATATCTTTCCTCATCTGAAAAGTCTGTCATGGTTGTGTCCAAGACCAAAGATACAACTGTGGATTGTAAGTTAGAGAAGAAGCAAGTTATGGTAGACAAAGAATGTTGAATGGAAAAGGGAGTGAACAAACAGTTATACATTTTCTTAAGAAAGAGTAAAGTAATAGGTTTGAAGATGTAATGAGGTAAAAGAAACTGTATCTGAAGTCTCTTCCTACTTAAGTCATCCTCCATTAAGTTGCCAGTGTGATTTCCCTCATGTAAGATTGTTACCCTACTAATCAAGAGGTCCCATGGTTCCCTGTCATCTCCAGGATCAAATCAAAACGAACTGTTTGGCACTCAAAGCCCTTCATAACCTAACCCCATCCTACATTTCCAGTCTTTTTTACACTGTACATATATGTTTTGATCCAGTGACATTGTCCTTCTGTTCCAAGAATAAGATGCTTCATCTCTTGTCTCTGGACATTTCTCTGATTGTCCCCATTTTCTGGAATACCCTTTCTCCTCTTCTCTGCTACTGGCTTCCCTGGCTTCCTTCTGGTCTTGATCAGAATCTCATTTTGTACATCAAGACTTTACCAACCCCTCTCAACTCTAGTGTTTCTCTTCTGTTATTTATTTCCTATTTATCCTGTATGTATTTTGTTTATACATATTTACTTACTTTTTGTCTTCACCATTAGATTATGAGCTCCTTGAGGGCAAGACTGTTTTAACTCTTTTTAATCCCCAGCACTTAGCACAGTGCCTGACACATTTAATAAATATTTTTTGACTCACTAACTGCCATGAGACAGGTGAGGAGGTGGGGAAGACACCTTATAATAAAAATATGAGGGGAAGTAGTGTTATTTAGCCAGGTGTTGAGAGGTCCTTCGCATTAAATGTTTTGGAAGTTTTGGTTTAAGTACATTTAACATTTAAGAATAATTAAAAACAAATACCTGAATGTTCTATTAGAACTAATATGTTCTATTATACCCGAATGCTCTGTTAGAACGAATATGTGTGTGTGTGTGTGTGTGTGTGTGTGTGTGCGTGCGTGCATGCATGCATGTATACATCTATGAAGTAAAACAAAAATGAATACTGATGGTCAAAAAGAAGAAAGCATGAAAGATGACAAAGTGCTTTTGAAAAAAGAGCAAACTGATATTAATTGTATTCTTTTGAGGGAGTTTTGTTGTTGTATATTATAATTTAACTGCTACCTTTAAGTATAATCCTGAAATGTGAGGGCAGAAGATTTTAATGAACCGGTATCTTGTTGAATCTGGGGAAACCTAACATTACATTAAGTGGACATCTCTTTTGATCCTCAGTGCTATCTACAGCAGCATCCACTGGTAAAGAGGCATGTTCTTAGAGCATAATATAAATCAAGGCCAGTGCTCCTAGCCTTGGAAACAGGGATTCCACAAAACCACTCTCTCTATAAATGGCTTGATCTTTTGCTTTTTCTTCATCTACCATTGATTTATAGGATTTTCTAAATTAAACTTTATATTTTAAGACTGTTTAATAAAATAAGCATTTTTTTTCTCTAATTACAGCTAGAGTTAACCTTCAGCTACCTAGAAATTCAAGGAGTTACCTGCAACAAGCCAGGTCAGGTGAGTGTACATGCCTGTTTATCAAGGCAAGGACATGACCTTTTCTGCATTCCTGAAATATTCGGACTCTTGCTATTTTTGTTTTACCTATCTTCAAATCCCATTAGGACAATCCAGAAAAACAAGGGTAGAAAAGACAAATATTTCCTCCCAGAAACTGTATTTGTTGAAAATATTCACACGTAGACTGAGCTGCAGAATTATGTGGACGAGTAGGTAGGTAGGGGGAGATCCAGGGTCATTATGATAAAAATAACATATTCTGTATAATTGAGTTTGAAAAGAACTAATTAGCATTAAGTTTTAGTGGCAATATCAGTGGCATAGGGCTATATTATTAGCATTACAACTTGCTATACACAATCTCTAAATTTTCAGTCTGTGTTGCATTTATTAAGGGAATGCACTGCTAAATTACTTTAAAATTAGTAGAAAAACATTGAGATTTCATACTTTTTTTTAAAGAGGATGTGTGAGTGCTTCATGACTTTTTTTTTAGAAATAATTGTTTCTTCTTGTAGCATGTTTATCCACCTTAACCTACAGATTCTTGATTATTAATCATAGTTCATCCAGAATAACATTCACAATGTGTTTATCATTCTAAAGATTGGGAGATTGAGATTAGGACAATAACATCATCTATCTCTTTGTTCAAATGATCAAAGTACATGCTGGAGAGAACAGTAGTGTATGAATGATATTATGATTAGATCCTTCCTGATGACTCTTCAGTGATTGACAAGTAATGGGTGGGGAGGACTTTAATTTGATGGTTAATAATAAAAGATTTTTCAGAACATGATTTGTCACAGGGGCCTTGCCTATAAGGAGCTACTACAAAGCAGTGAGGTGAATTGTTTTGTGTGGTTCCTGGAATCAAATCAATACTGTTTTAACCCAAACTTCCATGGCTACCACTCTCTTATAAGTATTATGTTATGTTATGTTATGTTACACTATTATGTTATGTTATGTTACATATTAATATAATGCACGTGTAATAAATTACATAAGTTCGTTAATGGTTAGGGATGATGTCACTTTTTGTATTTGTATCACCAGTGCTCACTTAGCACAGTGCCTGACATACTATAAGAACTCAAGGATCATTTTTTCACTCAGTCATTTGGTTGTTACTAACAAAGCAACCAATGTTATTGACTTGCTTGGAAATGAGCATGTGGCAGATTTGTCTTGGTCCTCTTTTGAAGATGATGTGTTAATGGAAGTATCCCTTGTGATGACATTGCTTCCTTCTTTCCTTGTGGTCCATACCACAAAACAAAATGGAAAGACTACTGGAGTTTTGGTCTTGGATCAGTTGCTTATTAAATGTATGATCATTAGCAAGTTACTTAGCATCTCTAGGATTTATTTTCTTCATTCATAGAATAAGGAGTTGGAGTAATAATAAAAATAATAAAAGAAAATAAAAATTAATAAAATTTACATAGCGCTTTAAGGTTTTCAAGGCATTTTACATATGCTGCCTCATTTAGTTCTGACAAGAATGTCAGAAGGTGGGTGCTGTAGTTATTCTCATTTTATAGATGAGGAAACTGAGACTGAGAGAGATTAAGTGACTCACCAAGGGTGATGCAGCTGATAAGAGACTGAGGTAGGATTTGAACTCATGTCTTTGCTTCCAAATCCAGAATTCTTTTGCTACACAGAGATATTCACCAGTTCTAATGAACATTTTTTGATTTTTCTCTTAGAGCTGAACCAGTAAGTAAAAAAAGAGTGAGTTTGAAGGATGGACTAGCAATTAGGAGTCATTAATTTTTAATTTAGTGCTTGTGACTGTAAGCCCCCTTGCCTTACTCCTCTTGTCTATTTTCGTATTTATCAAAACACTGATGCTGAGAGATTGCTCCAGCACCAGAAGAATTCTAGAGAGGAAAGGAATCTCAGGTCTTAAATAGGATTATAGAATTTGAGATCGAAATATAGAGATTGAAAGAAGCTTTGAGCTAATTTGCTCCAGTGTCCTCTTTTTACAGATATAAACTGAGAGGTAAAGTGATGGTTACACTGATAGTAAATAGTAGGTTTCATGCCTGAAGCATGAATGTCCATCATAAAATTCCTTTCAAGCAGTTTGCCAAACCTCTGTTTAAACACCTCTGATGATGGCAAAACGTCCCTGCCTCATTAGTTGGGCTATTCCGTTTTTATACAGGAAATTTCTTCTTATTTTGAGTCAAAATTTGCCTCTTGGTAGCTTCTACTTGTTTATGTTCTGCCTTCTGGAATCAAGCTAGATAACTTTCATTTCTCTTGCAAAACTTGAGGACGGCAATGACTTCTCTCTAACTCCAATCTTATTGTCTTTAAGCGATATGCATTGTCAGTTCTTCCAACTGTTGTGCATAGGATGTTATTTTGAGCCTTTGTGGGCTTCTTTTGGATGTATTCCATAGTCTTTGCCAGGAATGGGGAAGCTGGGTCATCAAGTGTGGCCCTTTGGGTGAATCCAAATTTCACAAAACAAATAGTTCAGGTTCCCCACCCCTGGTCTGTGCCACGTAGTCTGGCACCTTTCGTTGTGTAATCTCTTAATGTGTTCTTTTAGGTGAGTATATGTCTTGCCTCTCCAACTAGATTGCAGTTTCCTCAGTTAATCAATAAATATGTATCAAGCACCTACTATATGCTAGGCCAAGTGACCTGGTAAAACGAAAGTAGCCATGCTTTCTGTTTCCTTTATATTCTTCACTGTCTCTTGTATCCTCTGATTAGCCCTTCCTTTGGCAAATTGGTTTCAGAGAACAATGTTAAAAATTATTCAACAATTCATAGATTCCTTTAGGACAGTGTTTACTACCTGTTGGCTTCTCTTCATTTTTAGCTTGCCTACAAAACTTTTACTTTCAAATGTCTTTACTTATGAATACCTCCAAACTCAAAAAGCATGGCATTTGACTTGATAAAGGTGAATAATTCCCTAATTTGAAATGGTCAGCATGAATGGTTCAATATTAGGGGTTGAAGGTTGATGATCATACACCTGGGAGGCGAGAAACTACTTATTTTGTTTGCAAGTACATAGCCTTTGCGCCTGACATCCACCAGTAGGTGACAGGAAAGGGAGTTTGCAGGATCATACAGTTATGTTCATTATTGGCTCATATTTAAGGATTTATTCAATATAGTATTTTGGTCCCCATAAATCCTAACAGAATCTAAGGGTGATTTTAGAATGAAGAGAAACATTTCAAGAGACAATACTTGACAAAAATAGCAATGAATCAGTCACTTCAGATTTGCCTTAAGTGAGATCGTCATAAAAGTAAAGCATACTTTGATTATCCTTGTGAAAAGAAAAAAAAATACAAGATTTTGTCTGGAAGTATAACACCAATGATTTTAAAATGCACCCATTGTTTTGGCTGGATCAGAGAAGAGAGGCCATTAAGACAAATGTGCCCAGACTAGAGGTGGTTCTTTGTGGAACAGAAGCTTAGATGGAATGAGGCTTTATTGATATTGGAAGGCAAAACGTTCAGAATTTAAAAATAAATCAAAAGATTTTAAACTAAAAATCTAATGAAATGAAATGCCAAAAGAGTTCTTTTCTTTTGTAAGGCTAATGGTTTCAAGAGGTAGAGGTGAAGAGGAAGAGCATTTCAGGAAATGGGTGAGAAGGTGATCAGGCTGAAAAGGCCGGAGATGGAATGACAAGTGCAAGGAACAAGTAGTTCCCACTAAGGGGAATTTTTAATAGGTAATGGGAGGGGGGTGTTGAGGGGACCAGTTTTAGGAAACCAGAAAAGGTGGTAGGCTGGACAGATAGTGAGAGTGAGAGACAGCTGTTGAGTAGATCTTCCTTGGAGAATTTGTTAGGACAAGGTAGAGATGACAGGATGTGAAAGTGTGGGTGACTTGGGACCTGCACTTTTGAAGGAAGTACTCTCATTGATAAATCCACACACATACATATGTATATACACACATATACACATTAATGTGTATATATGTGTTTATATATATTTATATGATGTGTGTGTGTGTGTATTCCAAATTATTATATACTGGTATAATTTTAATGGTCCCTGGTTAGATGCTTTGTAAACCCACAGTATTGTGTGGGTGGTGAAATATTTCTTTTATATTGGATTAATATCAGGCTATTCATTTTACATTGGTGTAATATTTTTATGGTCTACTTAAATGCAAGAGTTCACAACCTAGTGTGTCATCAAGAGACATTGGTTAATGAGCCATGACAACATCTGTTAGAGGGAGAAACCTCCCACTAATCTACAAATGTGTGTGTTCATAGAAAAATCTTTCTTTTAAAATTGTCAGCTGATTCTACCAACAAATAAGGAAAAGTAAAATTGAATTTTTTTAAATTCTAAAAATGAGATACCTCAGAGTACATCTTTTGTAGTATCTGTGTTAGATTTTAAAGGGACTATCTCATGTATCTCTGTTTAAAAACATAACTCAAAAGTAAAACATTTCCCTCTTTCCACCTTTATTGTTTCTGTTAATTATATTATTGTCCTCCCAGTTACCCAGGCTCTAAACAGTGCAGTCAAATTGAAACTTCCATCTTCCACTATCTTTATCTCTGACATGCAATCAGATTCTCATTATATTTTTGAAACATATCATATCCAACCCTTCTTTCCACTCACATCATCATCATTATCTTTCTCCGGACTATTGTAGTAGTTTCTTAACTATTGTCTCTCCCAGCATTAATGTGTGGTCTCACTCCATCCTTCACAATGCTACTAAAATTGACTTTCTAATGCATGGATCTGATCATATTATTCTCTTTCTCAGGAACCTTTGGTGACTACTGCCTATATTTATATAAAGCACAGACTCCTTATCCTGGCATTTAAGACTCTCCATTATCTGGTACATCTCCAGTTGTATTTCATATTACTATACTTTGCTCACTCTACATTCCCAGCTAAACTGAGCTACTACTTGTCCCCCAGTCTTATTCAATTATCTCTTGTCTCTGTGGGCTTCTAGATGCTGATTTCATTACTGGAAAGTCTTTCCATCCACTTCTTTGCTTGTTGAGATCTTTCTCTTCCATTAATATCCAGCATGTTCAAAAAGATCCAGTGATTCTTTGTTGCCTTTAGGATAAAAGATAAGCTCCTCTCTTTGACTTTTAAAGCTCTTTACCATGTGGCTGCAGTCTACCTGTGTAGGTTTATTACATGTGACTTTCTTCTATGCTTTCTATGTTCTACCCATGCTGGCTGACATGCTATTTTTGGGGGGGGGGGGTAAGGTAATTGGGGTTAAGTGACTTGCCCAGAGTCACACAGCTTGTATTATGTGTCTGAGGCCAGATTGACTTGAATTTTTCCCATCCCTATAATGCTAAAGTTTACTGTCTTTGAATACCTAGATATCTTAAGAGTTTCTTCTCCATCCCCCCACATTTCCTCAACCAACTTTTCCCACCCGTCCATTAATATGTATTTACTTTACGTATGCTTTGTATTTGCTTGAGTATATATATTGTATATATATTATTTCCTCCCTTAGGGTAGGACATGATTCATTTTTGTAGGGAATGTTTCATTTTTGTCTCTGTATGCCTAGCATCCATAGTGGTATCATGGTCCAGAGAGCTGACCTTGAAGTTAGGAATATCCAGATTTATGTACTGCCTCTAATACTTACTGACTGTTTGAGCTTGGGCAAGTCACTTAACATCTCAGTGTTCTAGGCCAGTGGTGTCAAATTAAAATAGAAGTGAGGTGGATTAACCATATATAAGGTTCCCTGTGGGTACATATTGACTTTGAAAGCCACATATAAACATTATCTATGTTTTACTGTATTTTTATTTTCTTAAAACATTTTCCAATTACATTTTTATCTCCTTGTGGCTGCACGCAGGATTCTTGAGGCAGTGTTTGGCAACTGTATTCTAGACAGTTCTCTAAGACCTGCATTGATGGAGGGAAATTCCTCACTTAGGAATTTCTTGTATCATTGATATCACAGGTCTGGTTTCTGTCCTTTATCCCCTATCCCTTGCACCAACACATAGCACAATGTCTGGCATGTAAGAGATGTCTGTTGTTTTGTTTGTTGAAATTATTTGGATCGAATGAATCTTTCCTTCACTCATTCCCAAGCTAAACATGATCTCTCCCTATTCACTGTCTCTATACCATTTGACTTGGATTTCTTCTGTCCTTGTATTCTACCTTGTGTCATACTCATTTGGGAAGATTTCTGAATTACTGTAATAGGTTTGTATGGTCCTTGAGAGCAAGAATTTTTTTTTTCTTTATGTCCTTGGAACCTCACACAACTTCATATACTTCAATCTTTGGGTACCTACAGTTTCATTGGTGTATGCAGTCATGGATGTAAATCCAAAAGTGTTAAAAAATTCATCGCCATTCAACCAACCTAGTGATAAGCCTCTCTCAAACTTTCATAGGATATTCTTTCTTTCTTTTTTATTAATTTATTTTTAGTTTTCAACAATCATTTCCATATACTTTTGAGTTTTAAATTTTTCTCCCCCTCCCTCTCCACCTTCCTTCCCAAGATGGCACGCAATCTGACGTGGGTTATACATATGCATTCCTATTAAACATTTTCACATTAGTCATGTTGTAAGGAAGAATTAGAGCTAATAGGAGGAACCACAAGAAAGAGGAAACAAAACAAAATAGAATAAAAAAAAAGAACAAATAGTATGTTTCAATCTGCATTCAAACTCCATAGTTCTTTCCATAGGATATTCTTCAGGTAATAGATCTTCAAGCTATTACTGTCATCAATAGGTGATGTTTTCTAGCTTTCTAGGTTTTGTCAGTGCTCATATTTCTTGGATAAGGAACAGAGTTACCTCTTGGCCATGGTGTGTCTTTAGAGCTGAGTAAGGCCTTTAGTAGAAGGATTATACCAAACATTAAACATAGTAGGAGCTTAAAAAGTGTTCCAAGATGGAAATGAACTTGATAATCTCTTATCAGGTTAGCTGTTCTTCAGTTGAAATATGAAAGGGGTAGATGACAAAGACTATAGAATTTGAGAGACAGGGCTTATTCCTTTTGTCACAAAAATAATTCAGTATAATTTTATTATATTTTAATTTTTATTTAAATTTAATTACTTAATCATTCAAATTTAATTTAATTTTAATTTATTTTATATTTAATATTAATTATAATATAATTATAATAAACTCTAGGTTCTTTTTCATATGATCTGTGCTTTTAACAAGGGTAGTGCAATGTTTCCGAATGCTGTATGAATCCATTCTTTATAAAAGGTTTTGTAGTTAAATACCTCATTTACCCTTCCTATAATCTTCCTTCTTCCCATCAAGCTAGGTAATCTGTCATAATTAATGAAGGTTAAGTGTTAAGATAAAGTGGGATTAAAATAAGCTAATTATTAATTACTCATATTAAAATTGTAGCCTTTATACATGTGATAGGTATGTTACTAAGTGTAGATCTACTCCCTAGAGCAATGAAGCGTGATTTTACATTTAAAGTATAACAAGTATACAGTGGCTTCCCAAGGTAACTATTTAAAGAGGAACAAATATATGCACATCAATGCACAATTTTTCAAAAAAGAGTAGCATGGGGGCAGCTAGGCGGCGCATTGGATAGAGCTATGGTGCAGTCAGGAGGACTTGAGTTCAAATTAGGCCTCAGACACTTGACACTTACTAGCTCTGTGACCCTGGGATTGCCTTAGCAAAACAAACAAACAAACAAAAACAACAACAAAAAAAGAGCAGCATGATTACTTTAGGAGACCTTATTTTAGGAATCTAGGAGTGTTTCTATAGATACCTCTGGGTTCTATTGATTTTTTAGTTTTCAGGAATAAGGATTTCCTCTCTGCCCTTTCTTAATCCGTAATTAATTGGGCTGTGTTTCATCCAGTTCGTTCTCCCATTGGCCTCCTAGCAGCTCATTCTTCTAAAGCATTTTAGGGTTTGTGCCATTAGTTTCTCAGGTAACAGGCCATGAGTTGGGAGACTTAACAAAGGTTAGAAGAGCCACTGAGTTCTAGTTGTATCTTCCCATCATGTGATTTGACAAATTTTAAATATTACATCAAATTAGTAATCTTATGAGCCATTAAAAATATGTCCAGTCTCTGATACATGCTTTGTGACCCTGGGTGGGTCTTTAGACTTCTCAGTGCCTCTGGGCACTGCATTATATAAACTGCATTGGTACTGCAAGTTCCTGACATCAGTGAAGTCACAGATAAGACTTTTATATTTCCTCCAGTGGCTAGACTCCAATATGGTCGGTCCAGGGCACAGTATAGTTGGGCTATAACCTCTCTATTCTTCGCCACTGTCTTTCTTTTATGCTGCCTAAGATTGTGTTGACATTTTTTTTTGTAGCCATAACACACTGTTGACTTTTTGATGGGCTTGCAGTCCAGTAAGACCTCCAGATCATCCCCTTTGGGAAGTGAATTTCATATCTGCCAATAAATACAAAGTGCCTCAATCCCAGTTCAACTGAACTTGGAGATCAGCTAGTCTAAGAGTTCTTAACCTTTTTTGTATCATGAATCCCTTTGGTAGTCTGAAAAAGCCTCTTCTCAGAAAAATGTTTTTAATTAATTGAAGAAGTGGCTAAATTTCTGTTACAGGTTAGTGAAAATAATCCAAATTTTGAATCCAAATTCATTCATCCCTTAGCACAGTACCTCAGTGGATTGCTTAGCAAAGTACCTTAGTGCTTAGCACAGTGCCTGGCACTCAGTAGGCATTTGATGAATGTTTATTGTATTATTTTCCCCTCTTCAGTCTGTCTACAAATGCTTACATCGTCCATCATCATCTAGTCCGGCCTGCTATGAGAACTGGAAGTTGTGATTTGCTCATGGGCACATAAATACCAGCATAGTTAAAGAGAGGGATTAAAATTTTAATTATCCTGTCTCTCAGGCTAGTGTGTAGCTCACTGAGTTACACTGCATGCCCAGTGGTTTCAAGGTATTTTTTTCCTCATTGTTGTTTGTCCTTCATTTTCAAAGAGAACCAATGACATCAGGACTTACAAATGAATTGGATTTAAGTGAGACAGAGCTTCAATGTCATGAGCTTCACTCTCCAGTGGCAAGACATAGGTCAGGATGACTGGCGATGACCCCAGAGGCAGTGGGAGACCTTGGCTTTTTTAAGCTAAAGTCTTTCCATGGTCTCTGTTTGTCCATAGACTAGATTTGAATTGACCTAAGCATATGAATCTGGGTGGTCATTGTGAATCAAGTGTTTATTTGTTAAAATTTAAAAAAAACCATTAAAGCATTTCATTTACCTTTAAATTAGGATTTCAAGTGTAATTTCCAAATTTTTGTTTCATGCAGTTGATTGTTGAAACTGAAAAATGCAGCCTTTCCATGAAGATGGCATCATCAGAAGATGTGAATGACGTGCTGGCACACATTGGCACCTGTCTTCGAAAGATATTTCCTGGCCTCTCACCAGCGTAAGTACCCTATTTGGATGACACCAATCATGGACTTGATTCTTTATCAAAGTTAGGGAGAGGAAATTTCTTTTTTCTCTTTTCCACCCAGAAAATGTTTTCCTTCTACTTATCCACCTTGCCTCTTCCCATAGCTTTTCTTTTTCAGTAGCTCAAGCCTAATTTAGACTATATTGTCTTAAAGTTAGTGCTTTCTTGTAGTGCTGAAGCTTCAGTGCTGTAGTCCGTCCTAAAGCTTCAGAAAGGATCTAATCAAGGTGGAGGAAGGGACGTGGTTTCTCATTACTTTGACTTACAGTCAAAACATAAATAGTGAAGCCTCTTTCCCTAACAAGAATTTCCCTTCATGTGTATTAATGGTGTTCTAGGAATCGAATCAAATGTATTAAGGGAACTACCTGCATTAATTCTTCTAGTTTAAGATGTTATGTATTTTTTTTCAGAAGAGAAAACTTGAAAGCAAACTAGGAAATCTGCTTGTATGCTCCATATTTCTTTGTATATATTTTTAATAGGACTTACTTCTGGGTGGCAGAATTTATCATTTTGTGTTAGTTACCATTAATACTAAAATTATATAGGCTAGGGAAGGAAAGTAAAAACCGTGCTAAAATATATCCTGGAATAATCTTATTTCCCATCCCACCTCCTATATTCTGTTGCAACAATGTCTAACTTGTTCTGGGTTGTTCAGGGAAGAATATACACAAAGTACCATCCTTTCCCCAGGATCCCCAGGTTGTGCATCAGAGAATGATGGGGGAACCAGATGAGAGCTATTGACTACACACACACACACACACACACACACACACACACACACACACACACACACACACACACACACACACACACACTTCCCCCACCCCCCCTTACTTTATCCCTCTCTCTCCCTCTCTCCATACCTCCCTCCCTCCTCCTTCCCGTTTTCCATCTCTTTCTCCTTCTGCCTCTCATACAAAAGTGTACGCACAGATGTGGACACACATGACCATAAGGTCAAGTTGAACTTAATTTTATGTGTTTTATAGCCTACAATTAGAGTATGAGTTTCTTGAGAAAACTGTCTCACCTTTTCTGTTTGTAACCCTCCTTCTTAATATATACTTATTCATTCATTCTTCGAATTACTGCAACTTAGTTTAGCTGATTTCTGGGCTTCTTCCATTAATAGCCGTCATGTTTGGCATTTTGGAGAACAGTGTTGGGGGTGAAAGGGATCTATGAATACCCCTCTAATTACTTGACTTTTGGATACATTTAATTATGGATTAAATGCCTTCTTAGTCCCTCTTTGTCTCACATCACAACAGCCCATTTAAAAGGACAAGAAGGGAGGGCAGGAGCTGTTGGTTTCATAGTTGTTCTCTCCTATCTCTCACTTCATTTCTGAAGATAGACTTCCTTGGTGCTTTCTGAAATTTCTGGTCACCTGAAGATGAAGGGATTTCCTTTCCCTTCCCTGTGAAAGCTATGAACTGTCTGTGTAATATGGGGAGAGAGTTGGAGGCCTTCATGTAAAACTGAGCAGTCCCTAGCTTCCAATTAGGCACATTTCTGTTAGAGTGGGAGTAGATGGTAAGGTGGGGGAGAGTTTATAATGGCTTTGGAACTGATATTAATGCAGCCCTTGTGAATGAGGGGAATATTGGGAAATGGGTTTTCTCTAATCACATTTTAGTAATGTAACTTTGCACATTTTTGGTCTTTAAATACACATCCTTACAGCATACTCCTTAAAATGTATGATGAATTAGTAAATGTCTTTTACCAATGTTAATCACAGCACTATTTGGAATGTCCTTACAGCACCCTTAACTCTAAACAGATCTATCACATGCGTCATGGCACCATCTGAAAAGCTTTTTATGAAGAAGGGAAAAAAATTAAACTTTTAGCTGTGATTTTTTTTAAAGGATTTCTTACATTAGTTTTTCATAACTCGATTTTAAGAAGAGAAATTTTATTTCTGCCTTTCATTTAACCTGCAAGCAAAATCCTTGCTTTTAATCATTCACCTAGTGTTTGCTGGGTTCCTCCTTTATGTCTGGGACTTTGCTAGGTGGTATGATGGAGATAAGAACAACAGCAACAACAATAATAGTAATGACATGTCGAATTTATAGTGCTTTTGGGTTTGCAAAATGCTTTATGAATCTGATTTCATTTGTTCTTCCTAGCAACTCTCTGTGATAGGTGCTATTATTATCCTCATTTTACGGATGAGGGAAATGAGCCTGAGAGGGATGAAGGGATTTACACAAGAGTCACATAGCTAACAAGTATCTGCCACAAGATTTGAATTCAGTTCTTTCTGACTTGAAGCCTTGCACTCTATTTACTACATCACCTTGTTTCCTCACAAAGGTATAAGACTTGATCCCTATTGTACATTTGCATTGAGGAGACAAAATTAATGCATTAAATAAGAGAAAAGAGGATATAATTAAGTGCTAAATTATGTGGTGGTACCCTGTAATTGCAGTAGCCAGTTAAAAGGAGGAGCAGAAGATTAAATGAAGACTGAAACAGACAAGAAAGCTTCTTGAGGGGTCTAGGACTTGAGATGGATAGGTCAGGTTTGAGTAGGGAAAAAGAGAGAAGGCTCAAGTTAAGAAAGCATTTGGAAAAAAAAAACATAGATTCACATTTTATTAGGATGAATCCTATAGAAATGACCAAAGCAAACTTTTATGTGTGTGGCATGCACATGTGTTTGCACCCCTTCTTGCCTCCCAGCCACATGAAATGCAAATATTGTGTTGAGTTGTAATGTTTATATTCCTAAATATAAGAGAATAGGCCTTAAAGTTAAGAGTCCCTAGAGATAAGAATTTAGTCTGACTCCCTCATGCCTTCCTGGAAGAGAAATAAATCATCTAAAAAAAGTGTTATCCCACATGTACATAATGTTGTAAGCTGAATCACTGAACTTCTTGGCAACTACATAAATCTTCTCTATTATTTTATTTCTTAATTTTTTTTGTTTTTATTTTTGTTTTATAGTTGCTATTTTATTACCAAATTAAGGGCATCTACCAAAAACAGGAAAATTGGCAAGGCTTCTCTGTGAACAAAGTGAATAGAGTTATGTTTTCCTTTCACATTAATATTGTACTAATACAGGCCTCAAGTGACTGTCCTCAGTCAATTCTCTTCTACTGTCTAACCAGGCCTGGCTGATAATTTCTTAAGCCCTTTACTACTTCCTCTTTCCAGCCTCTTCTTTAACTAGATTTTGCCCCTGTATTGTTTGGATACCTAGACTATTTGCTATCTGACCAACTTGTCTCATGTTCTCTTGTCTCTCAGTCTTTGTCGCTGCTATTTTTTTTAATTTCTTTTTTTTATTTTTAGTTTTCAACATTTACTTCCACAAGATTTTGAGTTCCAAATTTTCATCCCATCTCACCCCTCCCCCACCCCAAGATGGCATGCATTCTGAATACCCCTTCCCCTAGTCTGATTTCCCTGCTATCTCTCCCCCCCTTCCCCTTATATTTTCCCGTAGGGCAGGATAGATTTCTGTACCCCATTTCCTGTATTTCTTATTTCCCAGTTGCATGTGAAAACATTTTTTTTAAAACATGTGTTTTTTAAACTTTGGGTCCCAAATTTTCTCCCTTCTTCCCTCCCTACCCACCCTCATTGAAAAGGCAAGCAACTCAATATAGGCTATACCTGTGCAGTTATGCAAAACACCTCCATAGTAGACGTGCTGTGAAAAACTAACTCTATTTCCCTTAATCCTGTCCTGCCCCCCCATTTAGTCTATTCTTTCTTTTGACCCTGTCCCTCCTCAGAAGTATTTGCTTCTGATTACCCCCTTTCCCAATCTGCCTTCCTCTCTATCATCCCCCTACTCTCTTGTCCCCTTCCCCTCCTATTTTCCTGTAGGGTAAGACAGATTTCCATACCCAATTGAGTGTGTATGTTATACCCTCCTTTAGTCAAATCCTATGAGAATAAGATTCACTCATTTCCTCTCACCTTCCCCCGGTTCCCCTCCACTGTAAGAGCCTTTTCTTTTTACAGTAGAGTTCGAATGCCTGGCAATTTAGCTTGAGAAAGGACTTCAGTGTCCAGTTTCTTATCTTACCAAGTGATCTTCAGAATCTTCCTAAGGCAATTCAAATGGAAGCCATTCAGTTTCCTGGCATGGCTCTCGTAGGCATATAACAATGATGTCAGCACCTCTTCTCTGTCACACTTTGCTTCAGAGCCTCCTGAACAATGAGGTAGCTGTGGCAATGTATGCATCAACCTCATCATCTATGTGTATATCCCTGGACAGTATACTGCCAATATATCACACACTAATGGCCAACAGCATTAGACAGTGCATCCATAGGTTAATAGGAGTAGATAACTGTGGTCCTTTTGTGTTCCTTAGACTCTTTATATTAAAACTATTAATATGGAAAACATCAGACTTGCTTTTTACAAAAATAATGTGGAATCTGTCACATTTATAAATTATCTCAAACAGTGCAGAATTTTGACAGCACACTTTGATGCAACTCATGACAAGCATAGTGCTGTGTAGATATTTTAAGTTGTTTTAACTTTCTATCAAATCACTTAAGAGCACGAAGCAGCAATAACATGCTCTGTACACATTTTGTTCTCTTGCACAGCTTTATTCTTGGAAGAGATAATCAAGGTCCTGTAGTTCAATCTTGATATTTTATATTTCGGAAATCTGAGGCCCAGAGAAGTTGTGACTTGCCTAAGGGTACTCAGGCCAGTTTTCTTTCTCTAAATCTAGCATTTTTTCCAGTGTTCTGTCAGCCTTTAGTACATACTAATGAACAACGAAATAACCACAGACATAAAAAGGTAGTACCTAGAGCACACTTTAATCCTGCTCTGTCTTTATTTTATTTTTTATTTTAAAAATTATATTGACATCACAGTTATCTCTATACAACTTGCTTCACTTTTAAAACCATATTACCAACATCAACAGCAAACAGGCAAAACCATCTGATATAAGGACC